AGCCTGAAAACTCCAGTGTAAGCATTGCAGCTCCTTTTCTGTGCAAGGATTGATGCCCTCAAAACATTGTTTAAGAGACAATCCAAGTCATTCATTGCTTTCTTGACCTGAGGTACTTCAGAAGGTCTGCAAACAGTCCTAAATTCTAATGCAGCTTCACATACTTCCAGAGCTTACAACACACAAGAGCTAGAAGAGGCTTTCTCCAGTGCACACAAGAGGTCTAAGCCAGCCTTGAGATTTGGTTCCAGAGCTAAGCTTTCTCAAAATTTGATGTGGAGAAATCTGAGGGCACTATTCCTACCTACAAATCTCATTTAAGGTCACATCTCCTAATGAAAAGTGCACTTTAAACCAAGGAGGGAAGGAAAAAAATATTGTAATAATAGAACAAATAAAAGATTGTTGAGAATTTCCAAGAAACTTTGTATTGAGGAGAAGCTCATAATTTATCTTGTTTATTAAACTTCTGTTAACTGGGACCTTCACTGTTGTTGTTTTCCAGGGTTTTCCAGATAAAATAGCAAAAACTTTGTCCTTTCCTCATTCTAAGTCTAAAAACCAAAAAGAGATCCTTGATCAACACAATGAAATACGCAGATCTGTACTTCCCACGGCCAGGAACATGTTGAAGATGGTAAGCTATGCATTACAACTTGCCTGCTTTTCCCTTAAAAGAGAGGATAGAGAAACCCCAGTATCAAAGCAGTCTGAGGGATGAAGAGGTTGAGAGCAGCCCTGAAAAGAAGGACTTGGGGCTGTTGGTGGATGAGAAACTCAACATGAGCCAGCAATGCCCACGTGCAGCCCAGAAAGCAAACTGTGTCCTGGGCTCCTCCCCAGCAGTGTGGGCAGAAGGGAAAGGGAGGGAATTCTGCCCCCTCAGGTGAGACCCCACCTGCAGAGCTGCCTCCAGCTCTGGGGTCCCCAACATCAGAAGGACATGGAACTGGTGGAGTGAGTCCAGGGGAGACCACAAAATCAATCATAGGGCTGGAGCAGCTCTGCTGTGCAGACAGACTGAGAAAATTGGGGCTGTTCAGCCTGGAGAAGAGAATGCTCTAAGGAGATCTTAGAGCCCCTTCCAGTACCTAAAGTGGGTCTATAAGAAAGATGGGGGAAAACATTTTATCAGGCCCTCTTGCAATAAAAGAAGGGTTAATGGTGTTCATTTAAAAGAGGGCTGATTTACATTAGATATAGGAAGATGATTTTTAATGATAAGGGTGGTGAAATACTGGCAGAGATTTCCAAGAGAAGCTGTGGCTGCCCCATCCCTGGAACTGTTCAAGGACAGGTTGAATGGAGCTCTGAGCAGCCTGGTCTAGTTGAAGGTGTCCCTGCTCATTGCAGAGGGTTTGGACTAGATGACCCTTCGAGGTCCATTCCAACTCAAACTACCTATGATTCCATAATTCCTAAAAGCAAAACACAATGCCCTGGATGAAGCAAAGAGCACATGAAGCAAAGGAGGAGCAGAAGTCCAAGCAGCAGCTTCTGAATCACACACTGTCGGGGGGAGATAAAAGACCTAGATCTGCATAACCATTTGTCCTCACCTGAATTTGCTTTGCACATCATTTCTCCCATCCCTTTCACTCCTGATATTCCTTGTTATCCCTATCCCATGAGCAGATGAGCTGGTTGGTGCTTTGTGGTTAAGCCTGCACAGTGAGACTTGGAAACATTCCCCAGGTTCAAAGCCCAGCTGGTGCTTCTTGGTCCATCTCAGCTGTACCTGGGGCGAAAATCAGTTCTATACTATTTAGTGCACTGCTCCCTGCAGTGTTCACTCAGACACAAGTCTGACAGAAAGCAACAATATGTTATAAAAATCCTAATAATGGACAGCATCTGGAAATCAAGATTGTCTGATAAAACTGTGCAGAGTTACCTGCTCTGGAATCTTCAAGAGCAGAAAAATGTGGTTCCTGTGCCCCAGGAGTGTAAACTGGCATGACTCCTTTTCTTTCTGTTGAGGACCATGGGAACATTCAGTACACAAGACCCAAGCCATTCCCCATTTTTTTTTTATTTCTCATGAACAGCACTAACCTATTTATGACCTGTATACTTCTTCCTTTCTGTCTTTCAGGTGTGGAGTGATAAAGCTGCCAAAAATGCTCAGAAGTGGGCAAATACGTGTCAGATGAGAGTCAGTCCAAGGGAGCAGAGAACCCTTAATGGTAGTGACAAGGATGGAACCTGAGCTGATGGGTTAATGTTTGCAGATGACCCCTGGGAATGTGAAATAGAAATAAAGATAACTTTTAATCTGTTGTAGAACTGCTTTTTAGGATTATTAGAATAGTTATTATTATTAGAATACCTTTTTAGGACCTGGTCTAGCAAAAGGTGTCCCCATATGTGGCAGAGGGACTGGAACTACAACCCAAACCATTCTATGATTCTATGATTATTAAACACAAACCCATCATCTTTGTCAGATAAATACCCCAAAGGACAATTTGTTTGAACTGGAGAGTATGTACTTGCCCTATATTTGTACCTTTCAAGTGTCCACTTTTGTCTCCCACTGGAAACAAGACAGTGCCATAGATGACTGTTGGTGTGACTAAATACAGACATTTTTGTGTAAAGTTTTGTGGTCTAAGTATCTGTGCCTGAAAGCTCATAAAATCAGAGTAACATTTCCTGCAGCTTTCAGAGGATGAGGTGGACTGTCCTCCTCTTAAAATCACAGGACAAAGAGATTGGCATCCCAGACTTTTTTTTTTAAAACTCCAACCCTTCTGTCCCACCTCCCACCCCACAGCTTGCTTCTCTCCTAAGGAATAAACCAAACTTATTTCTGCTGCAGGAGTCACCTGTGGTGAGAATGTGCTGCTATCATCTTACCCAAGAACATGGCCTGAAACAATCCAAACATGGTACAGCCAGTCCTCCAATTTCAAATATGGGTATGGAGCAACCTCCAAAAATGTCAACATCGAGAGCTACACTCAGGTAAGGAAAACTGAAACACAGTGCAGTGATACACTAAAATTACAGCAGTACAGTTAAGGCAGCTGGGAGTTATTTATAATTATTAAAAAAAAATATGTGTCATCAAACTATTATCTATCATGTACATTCTGATGCGAAGATGAATGATAAATTAAAATTCTTTTCTATCTAATTATGCAGCAATAGAACCAGTATTTTTTAAGAGCTGTCCATAAAAGAAACACTATTCTGTAGAAATAATTTAGAAATACCTTTAATTTAAAAATACCTTTAATTTAAAAATATCTTTAAATAAATACGTTTAATTTAGAAATAAATATTTTCTATATATGGATTAAATTCCTGATAAGAATTGTCAAAACAAAATACCCAAGATGAAAGTATTTGACCTTAAACTTAAGTCTCCTCCCAGAAAATATGTTCAAAAACATTTGGAGATGATAAACTCGTATTTCTACATATTCTTTCTGACTACTAAACTGTAAACTTAAAAGCTAAATAGAAAAAAAATGAAAGAAAAAATACCTTCTGTTATTTTGTGAGCTTTTTGTTGAGAATTCAATAAAGATGATTGAAATAATGTGCTTATTTTTTATTCTACAGCTAGTCTGGTACAACAGTTACCAGGTTGGATGTGCAGTTTCCTACTGCCCTACCAACTCCTACAAGTACTTTTACGTTTGCCAATACTGCCCTGCGTACGTACTGCCTGCTTACTCATTATGGATATGGATAATTGTGGATTATGGATATGTTTCCCAACCCCCCTGTGCCCCACTGGCCGTGTGTAGGATAAAATGACTGCAGTCTACTTTAACCTTTTATAGTTTTAAAAATACTGATGTGAATTGTGAGCTTAACAGCAGGTTTAAATAGCAATATTTATTTTATTTCACATTGAAACAGTTATTAGGGAAATTTCAGCAGATGAACAAAGGTGTATCTCTGGCAGAATCAGGCATAAACCATGCTATAACTTGGACCACAAAGCAGAAAGTCAGATGCAAAGTGAAAGCCAACAGCCAATGAATATTTAGAGGTAAATAGCCCATCTCAAGCAGCTGGTGTCAGAAAGGGTCTGCTGAGGTTATTAAGCAACCTGGTCTATTGGAAGGTGTCCCAGCCCATGGCAGGGGATTGGAACAAGGTGATCTTTAAGGTGTCTCCCAACCCAAATAATTTTATGATTCTGTGATTTTATGATTGCCTTATAAGCCCCAAACACTTGCAAACCATTAGAAAAGTAGAGCTAGAAAGCACATAATTTTTTTTGTAGATAATGCTATACAAGTATTCAATTAATTTTGTTTCTCTAAACCTTATTGTCCCTCTTATTTAAAATCAAATTTATTGTTTTCTATGAATATCTGAAATTAAAACATGACTGCCTATGAAAATACTTTTATCCAAAAACTTCTGGATGCCTTTCATTGCGATAACTCCTCTTAATGGCCCAGATCTTCATGTTAATCTTGTCATGCCTTGTATTTCTCTCAAATTTCAGAGGAAATAATGCAATGCAAATAGCTACACCTTACAGAAGTGGACCAAAATGTGCAGACTGTCCTGGCCACTGTGACAAAGGGCTTTGCAGTAAGTGACTCTGTTCTCCTCCTGAAAACAAACATTGCATTACCTCAGATAGTGATGTTGATCCTGTGTAGCATTTTGCTTTTGCATAGTTATTTCTTGCTAATCTGGATGAAAGATCCTAGAGCTGCCCCTTTCATTACCTACCCCTTGCAATAACAGTGGTTAAATATCCCACCAGAACAGGCACAACCCTGAGCAAGGGTGTGTTGGACCAGATGACCTCCAGAGGTGCCTTCCAATCTCAACCAGGTGGTTGATGCCCACCTTTCCACCTGCATTCCCTTCCTATAATATTCAAGCAATGTTAACAGCAGAGAAAAAGTACAAAGGTTATACAGACAAGAAAAACTCAAATCTTTTTGGAAAATGCAGAAGTATCAAACCAAAACTTGGTTTTCAATTAATATTTCACGTCTTTGTTTCTCTCTCTTTTATTCTAGCCAATCCTTGCAAGTATCAAGACTTCCTTGGAAACTGCAAGAACCTGAAAGCTTTGTTTGGCTGTAGCCACTCACTGGTGAAGCAGAAGTGTCCTGCAACCTGCAAATGCACCACTCAAATCATATAAAGTCCTGGTGGATGTCATTACAGCTGCTGTGAGACTCATAGAAGAAGCATAGAACTCACTGTGAAGTGTATTCACCCTCAGTGCATCTGCTCAGATTGACCTATAGATAACAATTTTATCTGGAATCTGACCATTACTTTAGTCCTAAATTAGACTAGTACCCCAAAATAAGTTCTGATGTTATTTTAGACTTTGTAAAAATTATGCTTAAGCTACTAAGGTGTTATTTTGTGGCTTTCCTTACAGTGGATCTGCCACTGATTAATTTCTTTTTAATGGGAAAAACACTTTTAAGACACTTCAGGGGGTTTTTGCATAATATATTAAATGCCACTAAACTTTCTTCTGTTACCTTTTTGCTGATTGTCAGTGGAACATATTCCTGCTAAATAAACACATGATTTACCACTGGTTCACAAACAGAGCTTTTAATCAAAGTTATTTGTAAATCAAGGGTTTGGTTTTTTTAATTTGGAAAATTCTTGCTGGATATTTTGAGGCTCTTTTACACTTCATGTGACTGTGGATGAGACAGGAAGAGAAATACAAAGCAAAGAGAGATGTAAGTTTTGTACAGGCGAAATAGGACGCACACATTGAATCTGACAACTTGTACTTTGTGATCTAAACACAAAGATTCTGATAAATCTGTTTGTGCAGGTGATAAACGGTGCCTTCCTACTAATCTTTTTCCTTATGCTTTCCCAAAATGATACATCCTGGTGCCATTCAGGATGCACTAGGATGCCCCAGAGGCACTCCAAGTGCTCCTCAAGATTGTTGCTGGTCTCCCATAGCTCTCCAGTCACATATACCAGCCCTGAGCAGGGCAGATCCTACTTGTCACCTTCCCTTCCTATTTTAGACCAGTAAAAATAATTTTCTCCTTAGGACTGCAATTCTGGTTCAAGACACAGGAGGGTGAGCCATACCCAGACATTGATCTGCTTCGCTTTTTCATTTTGCTACCCGTATAAAGGACTTCTCCTTCCTTTAGATATTAAATTTCTGGGCCTACCATGGCCTGATTTTAACACTTGCTTGCACAGAATTTCTTAGTTAATACTGGCTGAATAAATAATCACTATATATAGAAGCTGTTTGGGAGTGGTTTCTTCCCCTCTATTGTCTCATCCTGTCTCTGTTGGTCAGATTACTATCATATTAAAGCAATTGATAGCACCAAATTAAGGTTTCCAGGATATTCATGACTAATTCTGGTAGGCTTGATTTTCTCCCTGCCTGAAGCTCAGTTTCACCATCAAGACTGTGCCACAATGCAGGGCCCTGAGAAAGCTGGAGAGGGACTTTTTACAAAGACATGGAGTGACAGGACAAGGGGGAATGGTTTCACACTGACAGAGGGCAGGGTTATACTAGATAACAGGAAAATATCCTGGACAGTGAGGGTGCTGAGGCCCTGGAACAGTTTTCCCCAGAGAAGCTGAGGATGCCCCATCCCTGGAAGTGTTCAAGGCCAGGTTGAGTGGAGCTTGCAGCAACCTGGTCTTGGAACAACAAGATCTTTAAGGTCCTTTCGAACCCAAACCATTCTGTCATTTGTGGAAAGTGTAATTCAAACCAAAGTTGTGTGGAAATTTCCTAAGAAACTTATGGTTTCCTCGGAAAACACTATTCTATGAAACCTCAACTCTCTTACAGGAATATACATGATTTTGGAAAAACTTTCAGGTGTTTTCTGGGTTATTTTTCAAGATTTATTTTTTGCTTTAAACCAAAGAGATGGATGTTAAAACTCCTTCCACACACACACACATTTCCTCTTTCCTCCTTCTCTCTCTGGGCTGATGAATATTTAACAAGGAATTATTTTATTATTAGAGATTTCTGAGAGAGTTGCCTCCCCAAAGATCCAGCTTTTGTGCTCTGGATATCTGGCTATGGTGTTTGAGCATGGAAGCAGCAGGAACTGGAAGGGATCTTCTGCAACCTGAAGTGCCTCCCTGGAGCACCAGGCACCCAACTTGGTTACTGCTGGGTATCCAGGCACAACTTTTATACTTCTATAGGGGATTTCATAAGATTTTGCTTCCCTACCAGTGTGGAATAGAACAAATAGCAGGTGAGATTAAATGCTACCTGGATGTTCCTTTTTCTTAGCACAGGCACCAAGGAGTGCTTGGATCACTTAGTTGTTCATGTCCCTGGAAAGACTGAGATGCTGCTGAACGTGGGCTTATCAAACACAGATGAGGTAAAAGCAATATGGTAAAAGCAATATGACATTCACTGAGATCCAGTATTTCAAGTGAAATTTTTCTTCGTTCTTTGACTGTATTTTCACAAATTTATTTTTCATATTGATGTCTTGACAGTTGTTTCCTTTATGGTACTAGCAGATGCTTTTGGAATGTGCTGCATTGTGCTACGTTTTAGGTGTTAGTCCAGGCATGAAACAAATAACACCAGGAATTTCTTACAATTTCTGTTCTGGTTCCAGATATACTCACAAGAAGCACATATGCTGAGAGATGATAAGAGCAACTACTATGGTACAAGTCTAAGTCTTATCTGTGGGGAGTGGTGTAAGAGCTCTTCAGCAGACAATTTACATGACAAGGGTTTTAAACATAGTTTTGAACAAATGTTATGAAGTAACTTAACAGTCTGACAGCTTCTGAAGAAAGAACATTTTTTGATATTTAAAATGCACCAACTGCAATAGTACCATTATCTAATTTGGCTACCTGAGAATCAGCCTCTGGGCTAAGCCCAGTGGAGGTCTTTCACTTCCAGTATCTCAAAGCCTTGCTGAGAGGTATGGGCCTGTATCTTACCTGTTTTTCTCCAGCTGTTGGTATGTTAGAACAAATCTTCCATCAAACTTGCCTCACTCATGTCTTTAACATATCTCACCTGCAGTAACAACAGGTTAAGCAGCAAATTACAGAATCATTAAGGTTGGAAAAGACCTCTAAGATCATCTAGTCCAACCCTTAACCCAGCACCACCACGCTCACCACTAAACCACGTCCTCAAAGTGCCCCATCCACATACCTTTTAAACACCTACTGGGATGGTGACATCACTATTTTCCTGGGCAGCCTGTCCCAGTGTTTGACAACCCTGTCCACGAGGAAATTTTTCCTAATACCCAACCTAAACCTCCCCTGGAGAAACTTGAGGCCACTTCCTCAGGACCTTATACTAAATGGAAAGCAAGGGCTGAAAACCTTCACGTGCCATTAGAAATTTGTGCTGTCAGAATGCCTCCAAAAAACCAAAAGTCTGGCAAGATGGTTGAGCAAGACCAAGCAGCAAAGGTCCATCAGAGCAGGAACAGGACAAGGATGTTTCCCACCGCTGGGCTGCTCCTGGTTTTCTAGGCCAGGCTGCCAAAAATTGCATTCCTCTAAATGTAAGGGCCACAGCTAAACTGTGGAAAAACAGAAGATGAATTTTCTCATTAAGAAGTTTCTTGACAGCTACTATCTCTGCTCTGGGCTGAGAGCAAGACATTTAACCTTGAGCTTCAGACCCACCGACTGCAGCACAGAGATAATCCAAGACATTCAGGGTAAGGAAGATTAATTAGTGAACGCTGAGAAAGAACCTATGAAGCACTGAGACCTGTTAAATATAGTATCACATTTGATAGCCACACCTCCAGTGTAATTGTATCTCAGTTTGACCACGAGTCAAGGGGACAGGGGGCACCAGGAGATACAAGGAAGGAGGTGACACTCCCTCCCACGCCGACTGGCTGGTGACACCTGAAGGTTCATGGGCTGGTCACTGGGCTCAGTCTTCTGCTCTGGGGTCTGTGCAGTGCCACAACTGGGCTGTTCCCTAGGACTAACAGAGGTACTCTGTCACCAGCATCAATAACAAGTCCTGCAGAAAGGCAGTTTTTAGGAAAAGTTAGGGCAGCAGATCGACATGGAAATGCTCTCCCCCCACATTGAAGAAACGGCCCATATTAACTATTCAGTCTGTTATTGATGGGCAACCCGAGGCTCAGCAGGTGAGTAACTGAAAGTGACTCTTTAAAATGGTTATCATCACATTCCTGGGGATTTTTTTCCACAGTGATGGAAATGACCATTTCAAAACAAATGACATTTGTCACTTTCTGTTTTGTGTCAATAACACTCCTCTGCTTTCTGCTCTACCTCCCACTTCTGCATAAATTGGTGGAAGTAAAGGAGGAAAGCCAAGCTGCCACACTAAAATCAAATTAAGGCTTTTGTTCATTTTGTTGACAAATTTTGAATGAAGCACAAAATTTTTTATTTCATTGATTGACTTTAAAACACGAATTTTTATTTTAGGGCAGGAAAAACCATTCACCTATCTTCTTTTAAAAGTCTTTTCCCAATGGAAACAAATTCCAGAAATGTATACTGAAGATAATAAGGAAATATATGTTAAACCATGTTATTTTTATTTAGCGATACACAGCACTCTTTGTACAGACACATATGATAACTCAAGTTTCCCACCAAGTGATTTCTAAAAGGACAAAAGATGTTTATTTCAGCAAAAAAAATGTAGCCCTTGTGATTTTTGCATAGAACTGAAACACTGAGGAGTAGGGGAGAGTTTCTAAGAACTACTAAGACACAGAAATTACATTATTTCTGTAAATTCAAAGCAAGAATGGATTCACCTCTTATGCAAATGTGACTGTGCAGCTCTGGCCATACAGCAGAGGAGATTTTCCACCCTCACCCAATAATGTATCAGAAAACATATAAAATATCTCCTGTTTTTTTGAAACAGACTCTTAAGTTGATGGGTTTTTTAGAAGTGGTTCCTGTGCAGCTGTCACTATTTCTTATGGTAGGAGATGTTTCTCAACATCTTGGTCTTCATTCTTAATTTTTAGCACAAAATCAAGGGTATATATACTGTGTTACCAAATTTGGTGAAAAAAAAAGTTCTAAAAATTAAAACTGGAAAAGTCAGCAGCAGCCTTCTATTGGAATTAATCACAGAATCAATCACAGAATCATAGAGTCAACTGGGTTGGAAAAGACCTCCGAGATCATCAAGTCCAACCCTTGATGAAGAGGGACATAAAAACTTCACAAATAGAGGGGAAAACATTTATCTAAGGTGGTATGTACTAGCCTACCTACAATTGCAGGAAAAGTCCTCAATG